TCAACCCTGAACCGGTGAGATTTGAACAGCCGAACTGCAGAACTGCAGTCAGCTGAAGTAGCCTGCAGTGCTGCATTTAACCACTGCGCCACCTCAGCTCAGCATGATTGTTGAGTGAATCTGCTGTCATTAAGTGAATCCTGCAGTAACCGAGGGAACTTTAATGGAGCGTTTTTGTGTTTTTGCCGAAATCTGGAAGTAAATGTTGGCTTTTGGGCAAAAACCAGGACTAGAACTCCCCGTCTCCTGGTGATCGGCCCAAAGTCCCCCAGTTGGCTTTCATGCCTAAGGTGGGATTAGAACTCCCCGCCTCCTGGTGATTAGCCCAGACTCACCCAGCTGACATTGAAGCCTAAGATAGGACTAGAACTCCCTGTCTCCTGGTGATTGGCTGAAAGTAACCCAGCTGCCCTTTATGCCTAAGGTGGGACTAGAACTCCCTGACTCCTGGTGATTGGCCCAAGGTCCCCCAGTTGGCTTTCATGCCTAAGGTGGGACTATAACTCCCTGTCTCCTGGTGATTGGCCCAAGTTGGCTTTCATGCCTAAAGTGGGACTATAACTCCCCGTCTCCTGGTGATTGGCCCCAAGTAACCCAGCTGCCTTTTATGCCTAAAGTGGGACTAGAACTCCCGGTCTCCTGGTGATCGGCTCAAAGCTTGCATGCCTGTACTAAATTAACAACTGCAGCGATTCGCTTAACAGCTACGGCAAGGAAGGTCATAAACAAGAGACAACTCACAGCTCTCTTCCTTAAGAGTGATAACATTTGGATTCAGTTATGGTCATAACTAAGGCATTCTTAGTTTAGAGCAGTGGTTCCCAATGGGCCCCCCCCCCGGGACTCACAGGGGGGCAATTTGATTTTTAATGGCGGGTGGGGGGCAATTTGAACCTTGTTTAAACCAAGTTAACCTAACCCTGAAGGTAGAAATATTTTGTATATGTTACATACTTTAGTACAGTGTTTCTCAACCTTGGCCACTTGAAGATGTCTGGACTTCGACTCCCAGAATTCCCCAGCCAGCGAATGCTGGCTGGGGAATTCTGGGAGTTGAAGTCCAGACATCTTCAAGTGGCCAAGGTTGAGAAACACTGGTTTAGAGATCCAGCACGAAACTGCCAGGGAATTCTCGCCATCCGTGGTTTCCGACGTCTTTTGCTGTCTTGTGGACTCTCTGCTCCGGCTTCTCGCATCCGCCCGGCTTCATCTCGGAAGGGGCCTCTCGCCGTTGGCGATGTTTCTCAAGGACGGTTTCATCCTCCAATCCGCTCCTTTCTCCCACCCACCCCTCAGAATGGGGGTCTCCTTTTTTGGGCCGGCAATTTCTGGCCAGATTTGATCCTTTCTTTCCGACACTTTTTTTTTTTGCCGTTGCTGTCTGTTCTGCCGATGTCCGTGTTTATGCATTGGTCGATCCCAACACATCCGCACTGTTGATTTGCACGGACTCGTTCCGCAGTCTTTAAACCAACTCCCTTCCTCTCTCAGCCTCCGCCACTTGGAAGAGGTGCGGATTTCAACTTCCCAGAATTTCCCAGCCAGCCGTGACGGAAAAGGGAGTCCAGGAGTCTTAATAAGTTGCTGAGGTCAAGGCACAGCCTTCTAGATTATGTAGCTGACGCTTATCCGGTCAGTTGCTCAGTTCGTTCAGCCCTCGGCTTTTGAGCTTCACCTGGAGTTGTTTTGGGCCGCAAAAAGTAAACCTGTAGGGTGGTCCCTGGCAAATCCTGGCTTCTGGAGCTGCGTTTCTCCACCTTGATGCGCCAGGCTAATTCAGATGGGCGTGGCCCTGCAGCGGATCAAGGCCAGGTGGTCACGAAGGGGGTCTTGGTGCTCTCCGAACTTGGTGGTCTTCTTGCAAACGTTTCATGACCCAAACTAGATAACTAAGGAGTGGGGCTTGGTGTGCAAACCTCCCTCCTTACCAGCTACTGATGACGTTACCTAGTTTGGTCATGAAACGTCTGCAAGAAGACCACCAAGCTGAGAGAGCACCAGGGACCCCTCATTTCGGCCCCGAGCTCCAAATATTCTCCTTTTATTGCGATGCGCTCATGTTCCTGTTTTGCTTATTTTAAGTCAGCGGAGCAGAGCCGTATTTCAAAACCTCAGCACGGGTGGACTCTCAATTCCCAGAATGCATCCTGGGGCTGGGAATTCTGGAGTTGGGAGTCTAGACATTCTTGGAAGTTGCCAAGGAAACGACAGGGTCAGATTTTGAATTCTGGGTGTCTCTAGGGCAGTGTTTCTCAACCTTGGCAACTTGAAGATGTCCGGACTTCAACTCCCAGAATTCCCCAGCAGTGGTTAGGACAGTGTTTCTCAACCTTGGCCACTTGAAGATGTCCGGACTTCAACTCCCAGAATTCCCCAGCCAGCGAACATAACACTGTTCTAGGGAGCCCTAAAAGAAAGAAGAAGAAATTAAAAAAAAAAAAAAACTCTCCCCTGTGGGTGACTAGAGTTAATAGAGTTAAACAATGGCTGGTGTTCAGATGACTTTGGATAGGTTTCCATTTCTGCGGGGATAAATAAAGAAGCATGGAGAGAGACAACACAGCCTCAGACTC